TAAATATATTTTTTGTCCTTGACAAAGTGATTTGGAAAACTGGATTTTGTTTTCTCCATTAGTCACACTGTTTATTACTCCCCAAGTAGCTTTGGTGTTATTTTAATTCTGATTCAATAGATTACCATAATAATACACATCGATTGGCACATAGATTGCTGATTGGCTTCACCTGGCAGTAAGGCGTTTCCTGTTTTCAGTGTTGCACTACGTGTAGCTGTTTGGTGTTTGGGGCTCACTAAAACTGATTTAATTTCTCTGTACTAGGATATCTCTGAGTTATTGTAGCACATAAGCATGCTAAAACACACATTTTCTGTTGTTCCACCAAGCTTTTAGGGAACCATTTGAGTTCGCACGCAGTTTATTTGGTGTTGAACAGTTTGCTCGTCCAGTTAGCTTAGCCTCATCATGGCTGTGGCTACTTCTGTCTCTGCTTCTCCGTCTCCTATCTCTTGCTCTCTGTATCAGATGTTTAGTTACTCCTCTGCCTCGTTTAGCGATAATGGTACGTGTAATAAATGTAGCATTTTTGTAGCTTTGGAGGCCAGGGTGTCGGAATTGGAGTCCCGGCTCCGCGCTGTTGAAAAACCAGTAAACAGCCGTAGCTACTTAGCTAGCGCAGGGCTAACTAGCTCAGAACCACCCCGTAGCGATCCTCCAGTAGAACCCGAGCAGCCGGGACCTCAGGCCGGCTGGGTGACGGTACGAAGGAAGCATAGAACCCAGCCCGTGGGCCACCACCAACCCGTCCACGTTTCTAATAGATTTTCCCCGCTCAGTGACCCACTGACAAGCCAACTCTGATCATTGGCAGCTCCATAGTCAGAAACGTGGCATTAGAGACTCCAGCAACCATAGTTAAATGTTTACCTGGGGACAGAGCGGGCGACTTTAAATCTTATCTGAAACTGCTGGCTAAGGATAAGCGTAAATACAGTAAGATTGTTATTCACGCTGGCGGTAATGACACCCGGTTACGCCAATCGGAGGTCACTAAAATTAATGTTGCTTCAGTGTGCAAGTTTGCCAAATTAATGTCGGACTCCGTAATTTTCTCTGGCCCCCTGCCTGATCGGACCAGTGACGACATGTTTAGCCGCATGCTGTCCTTCAACCGCTGGCTGTCTAGGTGGTGTCCTGAAAACAACATGGGCTACTTTGATAATTGGAAAACTTTTTGGGGAAAATCTGGTCTGATGCGGAGAGACGGCATCCATCCCTCTTTGGATGGAGCAGCTCTTCTTTCTGGAAACATGGCCAGTTTTATTAGTCTTCCATGACAACCCAGGGTCCAGACCAGGAAGCAGAGTCGTAGTTTAACACACCCCTCTGCAGCTTCTGTACTGTTACCCACTGTTAGCAGAGTTTGATTTACCCAGCGGTTGGTCCAAGACTCCCAAACGAATCTCCAGGATTAAAAAGGAGGAAATAAATCCATAAACAGAGCGACTGTTTCAACAGGCCTTCACTGGTGGTAGCACACCCTGATTGCGCCTACAAAACACCAATGCACCCTTTTTATTGGTCATTCCACGAGGTCATAGTTCAACTTCCTCTACAGTTGCTTTTCAAAATAAAAGCATATACATATACACATTCTTATTTACATATTTACATAGATGCATAACATAACAGAGCATATTATTCTGATGCTTAACACCCATCCACTACCCCATAGAGACAGTGTCCTGCCCACGGCCAAAATCACACAGATTAAATATCAGGCTTAATAAAGCAAATCATGGAAATCTCATAAATATTAGAACAAATTCAACTGAGCAGAAAATTAGAAAAATTAAATGTGGGTTGTTGAACATTAGATCCATATTTTCTAAGACTTTGTTAGTTAATGACTTGATTTGTGATAATCAGATATCTGCTCTCTCTCACAGAATCCTGGCTGCAGCAAGAGGACTATGTTAGCTTAAACGAGTCGACTCCTTCAAATTATTTAAATCATCATATTGCTCGAAGTACAGGGCGAGGAGGAGGAGTAGCAACCATTTTTCATTCTGACTTATTAATCAGTCCCTTACCAATAAATAGCTACAGTTCGTTCGAACATCTTATTCTTAGTTTTCCTAATCCAGATTGCAAAACTGCAAAACCACTTTGTTTATAGTTTTATATCGTCCACCAGGCCCTTACTCTGAGTTTTTGGATCAGACCTCTGATTTTTCATCTGATTTGGTGCTAAATACTGATAAGGTCATTGTAGTGGGGGATTTTAATATTCATGTGGACATTGAAAATGATAGCCTCAAAGTAGCCTTTAGTAATATCTTAGACTCAATTGGTTTTACTCAAAGAATACATAGCTCCACCCACTCCTGCCATCATACATTAGACCTTGTGCTGACTTATGGCATAGAGTGTGAGGAAATAATTATCTTTCCACATAATCCAGTCCTCTCGGACCACTTTCTGATAACCTTTGAGTTTTTTAGCCCCTCACAAATTGATGCCTTAGTTCATCATGTTAATTCCTCTTTACGTGTGGCATTAGATGATGTTGTCCCTTTAAAAAAGAAGGTAATTAGGGACAGGAAGTTGGCTCCCTGGTTTAATTCTCATTTACGAGCCTTAAAACAAAACTCTAGAAAATTGGAGAGAACATGGCGCTCTACGCACCATGAGGAGGCCTACCTATCCTGGAAAAATAGTCTTGTGCTTTATAAAAATAAGCTTCGAAAAACTAGAACAGCTTATTTCTCAGTATTAATTGAGGAGAATAAGCATAATCCTAAATTTCTTTTCAGTACAGTTGCTAAACTAACAGAATCATAGCTCTGAGCCATCTATTCTCTTAGTCCTCAGCAGCAATGACTTCATGGGATTTTTTACAAGTAAAATTAATTCTATTAGAAACAAAATCTTTAGCATCCTCCCTACTGCGATTTCTTCTTCCTCAGTAAGTAAGGCAACATCAGAGGTGACTGTAGAACCTCACCTGTGCTTGAACCGTTTTGATCCAGTTGAGCTTTCAGAGTTATCAAAAATATTAGCTTCATCTAAACCTTCAACTTGCATTTTGGATCCAATCCCAACCAAATTATTTAAAGAAGCATTTCCTTTGGTTACTGCCCCATTCTAGATATAATCAATCTATCCTTAGTAAATGGATATGTACCACAGGACTTTAAGGTTGCTGTAATCAAACCTTCACTTAAGAAGCCTTCTCTGGATCCAGATGACCCAATGAATTATAGACCAATATCTAACCTTCCATTTTTATCCAAAGTCCTGGAGAAAATAGTGGCCATCCAAGTATGTGAGCATTTAAACACTAATGCTCTGTTTGAGGAATTTCAGTCTGGTTTTAGAGAGTATCACAGCACTGAAACTGCATTAGTGAGAGTTACAAATGATATTCTCATGGCCTCAGATAAAAATCTTGTGTCTGTTCTAGTCTTGTTAGATCTCAGTGCTGCCTTTGACACAGTTGATCACAATGTTCTTGTAGACAGGCTTGAACATGTTGTAGGGATCAAAGGAACAGCGCTAGGCTGGTTTAAATCCTACCTGTCTGATAGATTTCATTTTGTAAATGTACATGACAAATCGTCTTCATACTCCAGGGTTACTTGTGGAATACCACAGGGTTCAGTGCTTGGACCAATTCTTTTTACTATGTATATGCTCCCAATTGGTAAAATCATTAGACTCAAGACTCAAGACAACTTTATTAGTCCCCGAGGGGCAATTCGAGACAGCATTGTGAAGCAGCCGGCACTAAAATCTCTAAATTCTAAAAACACATCCAAATTACACATTTGTAAAACCCATAAAAACCTATATACACAATCATGTCATAAACTCACATGTGAATGACCAACAATGATTAAAACTTTGGCTCACTCACACACACACACACACACACACACACACACACACACACACACACACACACACACACACACACACACACACACACACACACACACACACACACACACACACACACACACACACATGTAACTACATGCACGCACACATACAAGTAATGCACACTCCCCCTATCTGCACACACATGTAACTACATGCACGCACACATACAAGTAATGCACACTCCCCCTATCTGCACTGAGAATTAAGAAGAAGCACAGCTCTGGGAACAAAGGAACTTCTCCTCCTCTGTGTTTTACAGCATGGGCATCGAAGTCGGCGTTTGGAGGGCAGCCACTCGAAAACAGTATGAAGAGGGTGTGATGGGTCTTTAATGATTTTCTGTGCTAAACTTCCTGTATGCTGGTCACATTGAGAAGTTAAGCTTCGCAGTGGTAGTCCAATGATCCGAGAGCACACCTTGACGGTGCTTTGTAGACGGCTTCTATACTGCAGGCTGACAGAATAAAACCAACAGGGGATGGAAAATGTGATAACACCTTGTTTATCAAGGGAAATAAACCTAAATTATACAGTGAATCTGCAAAATCCTTAGTTATCTGTCCAGCCTCATGTTCTAAATTAATATTAATGTCCCCACATAGAAGTAATGTTTTGTATTTAACATGATCAACCAATTCAATGACTTTTTCATTAAATGTCCCAATACATGATCCCGGTGCTCTATAAACACAACTAATTAAAGTATTTTTAGCAGCTTTATTGCTGATTTCTACAGTTACAATTTCCATAACATTATCTTCCATCATTGTCATTTCCTTAAGTAGGAATAGATCTGATTTAATGAACAGGGCAACCCCACCAATGAAATTGTTCCTTTCAGCTCAATTTACAATGTGCTGACACCACTATGCAACATTATGTAAAAAGCAAAAGGTCGTTTTACTCACTTTGGCAAATTATAATAATTAAAATGTCCCATTGCGGTATCATACAAAATGTTTTTGTTTTTTTTCAGAGGACAAAAAATGTAGAGTGAAGCTTTAGGGTCAGGCGCTTGGCTCTAAACTAAGGTGGTGGTGGCTCTTACCCAACGAATGACATGATGACATCTGAGAAAAGGAAGTAGATTCAGTATAACTGCTTGTTAGTTCTTGTTTTTACTCTTTCATCACCATGGCTTTTTCTCTGAGCTTTCTTCTGGTTCTTACTTTGATCCCAGGTCAGTAACATTTGGTTTAATCGTGCTATTTATTCACTGTGTATATTGTGTTTGGTGGTATTATGATTAGACACGACATGTAAAATTGTTTTTTTTTTAATGAACACTGTGTAAAGTGATGAAGGAGCCATTTCTCAAGGTTATTATCCTCTAACCACTGTTCCCTTTGACACAGTGCCAGAGTGCATGAAAAAGCCTCAAAATGTTGCATTCGCTTCTAAACTGTTTACGTTCCAGCAATGAAGACAGAAGATGAAGATGCTTTTCTTTTCTTTCATTAGATCAAAGAACTCTATTTTCAATAAAGCTAATCAAAACAACTCTTAGTCAATAATACAATGTGACCGATCTGTGAAATCACAGTATTATGATTAATATGTTTTTAATAAGTAAATGACTTATTTTAGTCACTAGACACGCTGATACATTAAGGTAAGCAATCACATGACACATTGCTGTGCTGATCCAATCAGAACCTTCCTAGTCTGAAGCATGGCAGAGTCTCTGTGGTGTTTATTAATTCTGTCAGCTTTGATTCGTCCAGAATCAAAAACATCCAGATTAATAAAACAGTTCCAATGCCATTTTAATTCAGTATTCATCCGTTTTCAACAAGATCTCAAGATCCCCTGAAGTTCACCGCATGTTAAGTGAAGTATGGACAGGCCATCTGTACTCCTCTTTTTAAGCTAAGAACTATCAAGCTGGGAAAAATCTGTCGTTGTTATCAACCAACAACGGTTCCTTCAGAATAAAAGCTGAACTCACTGACCCAAGGAGGGTCCTCTTTTTGATGCTGTGAAACATCTGTAGCTTTTTACCTGGAGACAATCCAAGGACTAGTCTGTTGTGCTGTGACGCTGTACCATTGGCTCCAGTACCACAAGGAAGGTCCGAGGACCTGGGCATTCTGGATCCACAGTGGAGGTCTCACTGAAGGGTATGTGGATGCGACAAACTGGCGTCTCATGTGTTTATGACCACAGGCTCAAACTTGATCAGTTAGGAGCAAAACACCATCTCCCACTCAGACTCGCTTCTCCGGACACGGAGGTTCTGAACTTGGCATCGTTCACACACACACACACACACACACACACACACACACACACACACACACACACACACACACACACACACACACACTAGGGTTGTCACGGTAACCGGTATAGCGGTAAACCCCGGTAAAAAAGTTGACAATAAAAATAACCGTCCAGTTTTTAAAAAACTATATTATCTCGGTGGGTTTACCGTGGCCGCGGTTTCGGCGCGATGACCCTTACCAGCCACCGTCGCTTCAGCTGAAGTTCCCGCTGCGCGCACACGCACTTTTTAATTTGCAACGGCACCAAAACTTTGAAGCTGAAATAATGGCCGAAGGAGGCGACGGCAGCGCCCAGGACATCCATCAGCCCTCAAAGAAGACTAAATCGGAAGTATGGGCATATTTGGGATTTCTGAAAAATGCTGAGGGACAGTTAATAGAAGACTGCTATCCCGTTTGCAGAACGTGCAGGAAACAAGTGTCTGCAGAAGGCAGCAACACTTCAAATCTCATGGCACATCTGCGTGACGATCACACACGTCTCCACAGCCAGTGCAAGGTAAGTTGACATTAGCATTTTAGCTGAAATGCATGACGTGAGGACTTTTGGTTGAGGGAGAATGCAACGAGTCACTATATACTGCAGCCGCAGCGTCCTCTGCCAGCATTTAAACTGTGTCACGGACACCCTGCTGCTGATGAAGCATCTTATTTGTTGATGATGAAGAGAAATATACAATTAGTTCCTTGTCATGGATTTGTTTACTTATTCAATGCCATTTATACTTGAACATTTGGATTTGATTACATAGTGTAGTAGTTATTTTAGTAATTTGTTTAAAGTGGATATTTATTTTAAATACATATTTTTTAAGGTTGACTTGTACAGTGCTCAAGTCAAGTGTGGACTGGAGTTTTAGATTTTCATTTTGATAATGAAGAAAACAAGTATATGAGAAAACAAGTGGTGTTTCTTTGATTTGTTTACATATTGTTTATGTTTTGAATGTTTGGATTTGTATAATTTAAACCTGCACTGACTACTGTAACATGTTCCAGAAAAAGAAGATATTTGTTCCTTTACTTGTGAAAAGTTGCACTTTTGCTAAGGCTTTGTGTTATTTTAGGTTTAATAAACACTGTTAAACCTTTTCAGAACTATTTCAGTTTGTGTAGAACAGGACTATCAATGCTTTCTGAACATATGCAACACCGTTTAAAAATACCGCGATAATACCGAAAACCGTGATAATTTTGGTCACAATAACCGTGAGGTTAAATTTTCATACCGTGACAACCCTAACACACACACACACACACACACACACACACACACACACACACACACACACACACACACACACCATTCACCTCACTTCATTCCAATAGAACATTCATCATTAGAGAGTTAGTCTTGTTAAATTGTTTAAAAGTCATTTAGTAATAAATTTTCTTAAACGTTTGAAAGTATCTCTCTCTCCTCTTGTCTCAGTTCATGCAAAGTGTTTGTTTAAATTCCCTGTAATAAAAAGATCCAATCTTCTGATTTAAGTAACCCAGTGTCCATTAGATGGGATTCATACTCGATATGAATCTTTAATGTCTTATGGTCATTAATTAAATGTAATTCTAATCCATTACAACTGTTATAAAACGCAGTGTGTTCTTTTTTACAGGAACTGGAAGCACAAGTAGAGCCAAAAAAGTATCAGTGAAGACTGGAGCTTCAGTCTCTGTCCCCTGTCTCTACAGCCCTCAGTACAGAGACAATGTGAAATATTTATGTGAAGGATATGAATGGTTTTCATGTTCATATGCAGTAAAGACAAACACACAACAAAGTTCAGAGAAGTATTCCATCTCTGTTGACAAGAACAAAAACATCTTCACTGTGACGATGAAACAGACTAACACAAACTCTGACTACTGGTGTGCTGTGGAGATTGATTATGGTCCTGATGATGGATATGACTTTCACCTGTCAGTCACCAGTGGTGAGTGTTATTTTTTTATTTACATTATAAATCTTGAGGTATGTGTTGCAAATCCAAGGTTTAGTATTCATGTGTTATCTCGTCAGACAATAACTAATGAGAAGTGTGTAAAGTCTGAATTTTCAGCTTTATTTTATTTCCCATCCAGGAACTCCCAGTCTCTATGTGGATAGTCAGGAGGTGACAGGATTTATTGGAGGAAACACAACCATAAACTGTCGCTACAGAACCTCTGGAGGAATGAAATGGTGTAAACTGGGCAGCACATGTGTGACAGAAGGATCTGGATCAATAGATGGAACAAGTGTAACTATGAACACAAGAGCTGATAACGTATTCAGTGTGATCATGACTGACCTGAGACCAGAGAGCAGTGGTTGGTATTACTGTGTCAGAGGAGACTTTCAGATGCCGGTGCACCTAACTGTTGCTGTTAAACCTGCAGGTGAGAGGGTGACAGTCTGGAGGGTTTTTAATTGAAAGTAACCAAGACAATTATAAATTATTGGACTGTGCTGATTAGTCCAGAATTTAACAATCAGTCCTTCCCTACTAAAAACCACTGTGATTATTTTAAACCTTAAATAAACTGTTTTGTTTGCAGATGTAGTCACATCCAGTCCTGTAACTAAAGCTACAGAAATTACCACAGTTAATCTAACTGTTACTGTTAAATCCACAGGTTAGAGGTAACAATTTTAACATTTGTATTTTTAACAGAATTGAACCCCCGAGTGTGAAAAGAAAAAAATTACAAAAATATGGTTAATCCTGCATGACGTATAAGTATCATCATTCTCATCTAAAGAGGGTTTTGTTTATTTTAGTCACCCCCAGCAGTGCTCTAGGAACTCAAGCAACAACTACAGTTCCAAGTGGACAAGAGAGGTCAGAGTGCACCAATGTTTTATTTAGAATTAGTTCAAATTAAATAAATTATTTAAATTATATTTTATTCCACATATTCAGAACTTTGCACCTTTTACTTTCTGTTGCAGATCCTCTGTGGACCTAACAAATTTCATCATCCCTCTGAGTTTGTTGATCTTCATTGTGATCGTGGCATTGTTTGCCTGGCTTATATTACGACACAGTAAGTCTGGCTTTAGTTTGACATTAAATACGCTTAAAACTGATTTTCTATCACAAGTACAAAATCAAAGGTTTATATTTACTAGAGCGAGGGAAAGCCGATTCCGCAAAATCAAAACAGGTGAGTTCAAATGAACGGAACAAGGATTAAGTATCTTCTAGCTCCTCTGACTTGCATATCGTTATCATCACAGCACAAGCATTGGGTTAAATAAAGTTTTGGTTTCTTAATTTACAGTCTAAAGAGGAAGTAACATACACTGATGTTCGATTTAAGAAGAAAACAGCAGTTCGGGTAAACCTGGTACACAAAAAGGGAAGAAAAATGTGTGATGCTGCAAATAAAAATGTGTTACATCTGTTGTCCCCACAGGGAAGTGAGAATGATGAGGATGTGACCTACAGCTCTGTGGTAATAAGGTATTAAAGAGTCAAAGGGTAACTAAAGTGTCCGAGTCACATTAGTGGCCACTACCTGGGTGCAAGACAGTGGTTTAATTTTTTTTAACCCGCACAATTTCTGTCAAACCGACATTTTTTTCTGGTCTGAGTATCTTTGATTTTCCTTTCTAATTTGTTTTACTTTTCTTTCAACAGAATGGTGCAAAAAGAGAAAGATGTTTGTCAGGGAAACTTTCCCTGCGTTTGTTGGTTAAAACCTCGCAGCAAATGAGAAACAATTTTTTTTTTACTTGTGCAAGGAGATCGAACGATACAGAATAGGCAGCTTCACAGCCTGGTTCAGGCTCATGCTCGGAAGTTTCTCAGCAAAAAGTCTGTCTTCATGGGTCTGACCTCCACCCTCCTACATTTGAAAGCATCGGGCAATCTCAACGTCTCTATGGCAACCGGACCTTGTCTCTTATCAGAACAGAGTGTCCTCTGCAGTCTCTGGATGTTTGCTCCACAGTTTCAACATTAACAGTTCTTAAGCAGTTATGAGAAACAAAGAAACTGTATAAATGATATAGTTTTTAGTATGTAAATGTGTATAAATATATACATTTTTCTTACAATGTTCCATCATGAACTCACATTAACCTTACATGCAGGGCCGGATTATCATTGCAGGGGCCCCTGGGCACAATGTGCTTAGGGTTTGTTGGTCTCCTCTCTTGCCTTCAGAAAAAACTGCTTTCTGGCCTTTCTATTAGTAAATTAATTTACAATGTCATCAAAGTCCAGATTCCTGACAAGCTGAGATTCAATAGCCATCAATGACAGTGCTGTTGAGTTTGTGTTGTTCTCAGTTCATTTTTTATTCTTGCCATTTGTGAAAATTGTTCCCCTTCACAATTTGCAACTGGTAGCAGGCGAGTTGCAAGCTTTTCAAAAGTGTGGGGGATGTTGTCTGTGCCTAAAATAATTATGTTATTCATCTTGTTAGTTTAATTTCCATAATAGTTGAGCAGGTGTGAATTTTAAGACGCATCATGCATGTCTCCATTTTAAACATGTTTAAACTGTTCAGAATACAAATCCAGGTTCTGTCTCGTCAGATTGGTACAACTAAAGTTTGTACTGAATGAAATTTTACATTAAACCATGTTGAAAAGGTAAGAAAAGGATCAGATTAAATCGTTTTTCCCCTCATTTACAGTCAGTACAGCGCTGTGCGCATGGCTCTGGGGTTAATCAAGTTTAATTGTTTCTCTTTGCAACAATCTTCACAAGAAGGCCAAACAGTTAAATAGCAGGTTACAGATATTTCCATTTGACTGTTTATTTTGATGGTTAGACAGCTTCTATTTCATAATAGTGTTTTTTCCCATGGCTGATTTATTTCATGAGACGTTACAGCAGAATGTCTCTGTCCCGTCAGTCAAGACTAATGGGGTGGAGCCAGTGTGTCATTGGCTGCTAATTCAGTCAGACAAAAGCAATCACTCACAAAGTATCGAACCAAATGCTTCAAAAATGTCATCCAAACAACTCAAAATATCGTCTACTGACAAACTATTCAACTCTAGTTGAGCCACCAAAGAAAACAGAGCTAAACTAAGTTCAGGCAATGCCGCCATCTTTGACTACCTTAAACTGTCCGGTCATGTACGGTGAGCAGAAATCCAGGAAAACCAAACGATTTTGAAGGATTAACCAATGGTATTGCAGGTCACACCCACTGGCCTGACTGACGGACTGAGACATTCTGCTGTAAAGTCTCATTATGAAATAAATCAGCCATGGGAAAAAACACTATCATGAAATAAAAGCTGTCTTTGTAAAAAAAAAAAGTTATGTTATAAAAACTGAATGAATTAAATAAAAATGGCTCAATATTAATTTGGGTTATTATGAAAAAATGACTTTTGAAAAAACATTATATTAATAAAGACATTTTAAAAGAAGAATGAAAAATATTTCATAATATTGAGCTTAGATATTCTGTTATTTCATCATTTCATTGTCAGATTACATAATTGTCTAGTATTTCTTCACGTAGATATTTATTTCATAATGTCTTATTTATTGAATTTTGAATACTTTTGAGTTCCATACTCCTCGGCCGTCAGACAGGAAGAGGAAAAGAAAGAGACGGAAGCTCCGTCTGGTACAGAGACAGAAAACCCAATAAAGAGGATAATAACTTTAGAATGAATTATCACTAAGTGTTATGATTTAAAACTGGACTGGTTTGCTTGCCATAATGTAGTGTAATACGTTAATTATGACCAATAAGATGTGACGATTCCATATAAATATGAAATATCAATCTGATTGATCTTTGAATGTTTAATCAGAAGATTCTAGGGTTCTTTGCCTCCTGAGTGACCATAAACACACTTCGTATTCAGACAGAGTCAGGTATATAGTTTATAAAATGAATTTAATTCTTTTTCCTAAACTGAGGATTATAAGAGACAATATATGAATAATGAGACGTGGTGTGATGATATGAAGTGATTTAATGTAATGTGTGAAATGTAACGGAAGCTAACAAGATAGCGCCTGTGCTTGGCTTAGCAGTGGTCACCGGCCACTTTTTCAAAGTTTTCTCCACTAACCTCCTCTTTTCCACCTTGCTCCTGTCTGTGATCCTCTTCAGTAGTGCCCCTGCTACCATCTCCTATGATCGCCAGACTCTTTTGTCCTTCCGTTTGTTCACGATCGCCCAAGATGCACCGAGGACGCACCTTCCTTTTTGTTTACCTGAGTGGCGCACCGGCCCGGAACCAATCGACGATTCCAATCATGGCGCTTCCAGCGATGTTTATCCGGTCCCGGGAAAACGTCGGAGGAAAAGAGGAAAACAAGAAGGAATCCAGGTGAGAATAAGACTTCTCTTAAAGCATAGTTTATCTAGTAAACATCGGCGTGATCTTCTAGCTTCTTGTCCTTTGTTTGGCGACTTGAGCGCCACTTCCGCATTCCCGCCAGGCCGCGTTGCGGCGCGGTTTCTCCGTCCAAGTTTTTTAAGGTTAGTTTATCCTCATTCCTCAGTGGTTTCTCCTCCTGTTCCCTCCATAAGTGGTTTTTATAAACACCGTGGATCTAACCCTGCAAATTTACATCCACTAACTCCAGCTGTTTCTGTAGTTTCTGATTCCTCCATCTCACTCAGCATGGTTCTATGAAATACCTGCTCTGTTAACAATAAGTTCTTCCTGCTCAATGATCTAATTCTCTCTAAAAACCTGGATTTTCTGTTTCTGACTGAAGTTTGGCAGCAAACATCTGATTATTCTGGTCTGATTGAACTCTGCCCGAGTGGTTATTCTTTTCTTAGCCAGCCCTGGGGTTCTGGTCATGGTGGAGGCCTAGCTGTTGTTTTCAGAGACCATCTTCCATGTAGCTGTACAACCTCTGGTCACTTAGCTTCCTTTGAATTGCAGCTGATTAAAGTCAGGCATAAGGACCCTTTCTACTGTGCTGTGGTCTATTGTCCACCTGGTCCAAACAGTTCTTTCCTTCAGGAGTTATTGACTTTCCATCCTCCACTGTGAAGCTGTCCAGATTGGTGATTGTTGGTGATTTTAACATCCACGTTGATGATCCCTCTAATCACTTTGCCATGAATTTCTCCAGCCTTATGGACTCCTTCAGCTTTACCCAGCATGTTTCTGGCCCCACACACACCAAAAAGGCACACTCTGGACCTTGTT